TCACACAGCTAGTAAGTGTTAAGTGTCTAAGGTCAGATTTGAACTCAGGTCTTCCTGACTCCAAGGCCAGAGCTCTGTCCACTGTACCACCTAGCTGCCCCTATGTCTTTCTTTTCAACAACTATTACAGTCATTATCCTACTATAAGCCTTATGAACAAGACTGTGAAATACCACTTTTTCAGTGGTACTATAATAGGATGCAAGTATGAAAATCTTACAATTTTAACCTGTATTTGTGGTCAAATGAGAATATAGGGTGATATCTACCTAAAGGGGGGAGTGATTAGTAAAGTAATAAGAAAAGGATGTAAAGTAATAGTTTTCTAATTAAATGGAATAGTAAACTTTGAGAAAGCAACAGGATTAGACTGTTTTCTTTAAAAAGTATATGCATATATATGATCGCTTTCCAAATTTATCTATTATGGAAATTTAGGCTTTCAGTATGTCTTAGCAATAAGTTCTCAAAATTGGATTGAGGATTTTAATTTTAAAATTGTACTGATAATTATAAGGAAAGTGAAATTATTTTACCATTTATGAAGTATTTGTCTCATAATTTTAAAAGGTAGAAGATTTCATTTTACAATTAGACCTTTAGTGAATTTTTTAAAAATTCATATATCAGGTTTAGGATTTAGGTGAGGCTAGAAACAGCAAATGGTATATAAAATGAAATTCTCTGAAGTTTTAATACTGGAGAACCAAATTTAAGTGATTGTACTAAATTGTATTGTCTTGTTACTACCAGAATTATCTAGGAATCTCTAGATTTGGAACCAGAGAAGCAAAGCCCCCTTAGAGCTGTCCTGAGATTGAAGCCTATTGTCCAAGAGGAAAGATCTAAGGAGAAGATGACTACATGAGGCATCTGCGACTCAAAACTAGTCTGATTAAATGGACATTGAGAATGGATCACCAGGATACAAGGAGACTTGATGTTAATTAATATTGATGATAGTTATTGTATTGTCTTGGTCTTTTGTTTCATAGTGTTTGTGTTGAAGCTTTCTTAGTTACTTTGGTGACATGTAAATCTCCCTTCTCAAAACTAGTCCATTGTGAGACCTCTAAGTAGTTTGATCTGTAACCTGACATAATGTAATTATGATTATGAATTTATGAAAAACCTTATAAATTTGACTTATAGAAAAGTGATCAATGGAAGGAATGGGTTGCCCACTCCCTCATAAGGTGAATAGGGGGAAATTGAGTGAATCAAGGGGATTAGGAAAGCAAGTGATTAATAGTGGGAACTGAGTGAACCATACTGATTCCATCTTGTGGCTCAATCCTGGAACTAGCTTAGTATCTTTTCAATTACGGGTCTAGTGCAACTTTTGTCTTGTGAGAAAACTTCATTCAATTGTGGGAATTGGGAGAAAACCTTATTGCATTGTTTGAACCTAGCTCTGTGTGGCTGGGAAATTGAACCATCTCTACATGCTGTTTAGAGACTCTTAAACAAAGACCTAGGTTATGCTGACCAGAAACTTAGATCCAAAGATTGATGCAAGGAGTTTTCTCACAGTTGCACATCTCAAGCAACCCATATGTCTTATTTTAAAATGGGCCTATACTGATCAATCAGTCAGTCACTGTTTCCATATTACAAATATTTGGGGAGTGGGACACTTCCTTTTCTGAATTCAGAAAACTGCACCTGTTCACCCCCCTTCCTGAATCTAAGGGCCCCTACCAGGTCCTTTTGACTACTCCCACATTTGCCAAATTGGTGGGAATTGACTCCTGTATTATCTGAAGAAAGCCCTGACTCCTGAGTAGACAGCAGAACCCTCCAGGGACCTCAAGGTTTGTCTTGCATGGACCCAGAAGCAGCTGACAGCCAGATAACTCAGCTGTCCCAAGATTATGGACAAAGGCTGACTATACCATCCTAGCTTTTTCATCTTCCCTTTTGCTATGTGTCTGACCACCAAGGCCTTGAGTTAAGCATGTGTTGGCATTTTCTCCCTTTAATTTCTTGACTTCCCTTTCTTTTTCTGCTTGTACAAATGATAGCTATGCAAGACCTACTGCTTTTTATGCTTACGATCTTCATCCTATTGAGAGTTTCACAATGATACCTAGTACATACTTCCCCAATAGGTCCCCTCAAGGAACTAACCTCCTGGGACAAAAATGCCATTCTTCCTCTATCCTCCTTCATTGTTAAGGGGGAAGGGCTAACAAATTATTGGATTTGCCACCTTAACCCCCAAGCTCACCAACCTAGCCTTAGAGTTGTCCCTCAACTCAACATCTTTTATCTCTGTGGCTGGATCCCATTTCTACTGAGTTCCATGGTGACTTCAAGAGCCTCCCCTTTCTCTCAGTTCATCCTGAGTCTGCCTCTCCCTAGATTACTACTGCTGAGACCCTGTTTAGTATCATTGTCTCAGGAACACTTCTTCTGCTAATGCTCTCCTTTTAGCACTAGCAGCTCAGGACCTCAATCTTACTGAAGATAGTGTGCCCAATAAGACTTTCCTTGCAGCTGCCACTTTGATCTCCCGTGGCAAAGCTATCTATAAGTTTTCCATCTCTAAGTGGGCCTACTGTTACCCTTCTCTTCCAACTTCCCACTTATCTGCTTCTGCTAGCAGCTGCCTTTGATGTCACAACACATATTACTGTCTGTCTCCCTCTCCATTATATCTTCCACTGCAATTCCCCTCGTGACATCTTGGCTTATACCTGTCTCTCCTTTCTTGGTCAAAGTGGGAAGGGTTCCCCCTTGGCCAAAAGGGGGAAATGTCAGGGCCCCATTCCAAAATCATACCTCCTTTTGTTCCTCTCTTTTCTTACTATTAGGAGATGCCTTGTTTTACAGGGCTAAGGCCCAGCAAGCAAGTTGTGATATGAGCTTGGCATAACAACAGTCCTTTGCACTCACCCAGTGGATGAACTCTGCTGCAGTTAAATCACAGAACTGACATCCCCTGAGCTCAGGCAAGCACCACTAGAAACCACATCTTGGACAAGAAGCCCTGCTATTAATGGACTTTTTATCAGTAGGTAAACTTGCCTCACTGTTGCTGTTATGCCTCCCTGCTGTTGCTACACCTCACTGCTTGATTCTTTGTCTAGCCACAACTATATGTATCATGGCTTAGCCTCACTGCCTTGGTCTCTTTGGTCTGGCATGAAAGTCTAATTTTCCTCCTGTAGTGGAATAAAGAAGGCTTTTTGCTGTAACTCCTGTAGTTCTTTGGTCATTTATTTTTCAGAGTTGATAGTTGGTGTATAACCTCTGGAAGCTCTCTGGTATTTTCAGAGTTAACAATCTCAAAACCAACAATGGAGATATTGCTGTGGATTGTTTGAACAACCTTATCATAAAGATGTAATAAAGATCTATACCAAGTCTACCAAGTTCAGAGGGGTAGAGAAAGTTCAGTAACAAATATTTGTTCAAGGAGTTCAATTTCATTGGCAGTCAGTTCATACTAAACGTTGGATGCAGAATTGCTCCAATACACCCATTCTGGTGGATGTCAAGGATGTGGTACCTGAAGTGAACCAAATGAAGGCATTCTGCTAGTATGTTCATGATGGGGAAGAAAAGTGTTAGAAAGATACTGATAGACTCAGTCATCATTGGCATTGCAAGTTTTTATTTCGGTCCTTTGACCGAATTGTCCAGTGACATAAACACTGATGTCCTATTCCCAAGGAGGTCATCATGTGTCATTAATTTCCAGTGTTATGGCACTTTTATTGCCAAGACTCTTACTGCCCTGAAACCATAGACTATATGCTTCATCATGGTTTTGAAAATCTTCACCACCCTGGAAATCACTGCCAATGATGACACAAACAAGGAATGATTACTTTGGGTCCCAAAGAGATCTTCCAACTGTGGCAAAGCACTTTGTGGCCTCGTCTATCAATGTACCAAAAGCTAGAGTTTGGACTTAACACTTAAAATGTTTGGATTCTGGGCCTGCTGTTGGGATAAATTCACTGTGATCAACTCTTTGTCTTTCAATCACCTTCATGTTCATTTTGACAATGTTGAGCAGCTTCTGTCAAGACTCACTGGATGTTCAATCACTTCCACATGATCCCACCAGAGGAAAAATGCCTTTGTGGTGTTTGCCATATCAACCATATGGTACATTAACTCTTTTGCGAGCTAGACTCAGGCCCTGTTGCCCTATGATGACCAGTATACTGCCCTATACACCACTTTGCTTCCTGCTTCCAGTATTGCAACATAGAATGAAATGGGAAGTATATTACCAAGTCAAATGGTCCAGTTGACTATAATATAATTCCCATTGTTTGGGGAGAGCCAAGGACCAATAGCCACTATGATTTATGCCACGTAATTCACCAAAGTACCTGATAATTCCCTGTGATTTTGCCATCCTTATCTAGGTACAGCTTCCAATATTTAATGACCTTTATTACAAGATCCTCCTAGCTAACTTCCCAGCTCAGACTGGGGTTCTGATGAAGGGGAAAATAGCAAAGGAACACAAGGAACTCCAGAAATAACCTGGAAAACCATCAGCCCCACAGGGTCTTTGAGGGAAATCATCCCCACAAAGCTCATTCCATTTATTCTTAGAACATTAATTGTTGCACGTGAGCCCAGGAACATTGTTCAGGGCATTGTCTGGGATGTCAACAATTATGATCAGTAAAGAGTGGAGTTAGGAAAGCAACTGGCTTAGCAAACTGAGCCTGAGTTGGATTCAAATGTGAATGTTCATGTTGGCTCTACCAATGGGCAAATCAACTTTCTAAAAAATAAAAGAAAATAAGGTCTCCAGTACCCTATTATTCCTCTTCATCTTCCTGCTCCTCCATTATAGTCTCATTTCTGGAAAAATCTAACTGAAAAATCATTCATGCTTTCACCATTGCCTATTGTATAATAAGTTTGGCAGATTCAGATGATTGTTTTTATCTCTTTACTCAAAAGTAAATCAATCCCTCCAGTTATTTGGGAGCATTCATTTAAGCTAAGGAGAATGACAAGAGACTGGCTTGCAAATGAGAAAGTTACTAATTTATTAATTTTAATGGGGGAATATATGAATCAGTTTTCTAAGGCAGAAATGACTGATTAGAGAGGGACCTTTATATTCCTCTAGGGTTTAAGAGGCAGGGCAGGGGAGGGAAAGACAAGGAATAGAGAAGGGAAGGGAAGGGAAAAAAAGAAATCAAAGTTTAACACCATTGTTGTTATACTTCCATTCAATGGACCTAATGAACAACTCAGCCTTAGACTCATTTTTCTACACCTAACTGAACTCTCTGGATCATGTCCTCAATTGTGTGGGAAGCCTTTAATACATCTCTGGCAAGTCCTACAACCTGGAGACAGAAATTATTTTGGGGGGAAATGGTGATATTCAGATTTCTCTGTAGCTCGTTCAGTTCCTTGAATTCCTCTTCACCGAAGTTTTGGATGGCTTCATCTGAGGAGGAATAACTCTTTTGTCCTTTTAAAATTAAATCTTGTATCCAAGAGACAGTGTTTTCAATATTCTCCTTACTTTCACCACATATCTGAAACACAGTTGATTCCATTTTCTTTCCAAAAACCAAATCATGTCTTGTAAGACCTAAAAGTACTAAAAAAAATAATTAATACTGTGAGAATATACTCATGAATGTTTCCTAAATAATGCCAATCACAAAAAAGTGTGCAACTTACCTTTTAATTTGGAGAACAATGAGGTTGGCATCGTAGAGCCCTCCCTTTTTTTCATAATGCCATAAAACATTTTTAGTAGCTGTGGTTGGAAGATGACTACTTTTATATTTTTCATTGATTGGCCAGACCCTTTCCATGCAAAGTCTTCAATAGCATCAATTATTTTTTTAGTAACAATATCTGGGTCTTGTTTAGCATTTCCTATAAGAATATAACAATAAAAAGATACTACCAAGCAATCAATTTGTAGGTTGAAACATTTATAGCTAGAAAGGACCTTAGAGGCCACTTAGTCCAAATCTTTCCTTTTACAGATGAGACAATTAAAGCTTAGAGAAGTTAAGCGATTTTTCTTTCCCATGTCTACACAGTTAGTGAAGTATCTGGCAAGGAATTCGAGCCCAGGTCTTCCTGATTCTAGCTCCAGCATCCTTTCCACAATAACATGATATGTGTGATGTGCCTAGGATTTGGTCCTAGAAACCTACAGTCCCCAGGGCAATGGACCCATGAATCTGATTAAGACTTTGAACTCCCCTACCCAGGCAGTTCAGGTCTCTATTCTTCTTTTGTCCCAGCAGGTTGTCCTTTATGGTAGGTAATTTATCTCATCCTCTAAACTCTGAAGGACACTTACATGAAGAGAAGCCATCCAATGTGGGTTCAAACTCTGTATTTTTCTTTGAAAATAGGAGAATGTAACATCCCTTTGAGTTACCTCATTACAAAGGTCATTTATTCAACTATCTATATTATTTTTTATATCTCTGGGTACCAAGGAAGATTTTTTTAAAAACCCAAACTAAATGTCTTTTCCCACAGGGAGCTTATACCATAAGGTATGTAATCCTTTTCATTGGTTCTAGCTGATAAATCTAGCCTGCAGCCTTAATTCTGACTGTCAGTATGAAAACTTTCTACCACTGGTCAAAAAGGTAATTAGACAAAAGACTGAGGATGAAACAGGGTAAACTCATCACTACTCTCCAAACTCAGAAACTGTCCAAAGTGGGTTAGCAACAGCATCTTTATATAGTATCATAGAATTAAAAGCTGAAAGAGACCTTAGAGATATCATCTAACCTTCTCATTTTGAAGATGAGGAAACTGAGGCCAAGAGAGGGGAAGTGACTTGTCTAAGATAACAGAGGGTCGGAATTTTAAACCAGGTTCTTGACTCCAAATCCAGGATGAAGAATTAAATTGTTACATGAATATGAAATATTTAATGAATATCACCCTAAGACTTATATGAAATGATGATGGATGAAGGAAACAAAGCCAAAAGAAGAAAATTTGTAATGACTAAAATGATGTAAAAAAAAGAGTCAAAATGGAAAGGCAACACAACTCTGGTCAGTGATTATGGCCAAACTTAGTATCATACTGTCCAAATTAAAGGACACACCCCTCTTTTCTCTTAAAAATTGACAAATTGTTTGAAGGGGATATATGTTCTAAAGGATTTTTGGGGAGTATTTGTTGGGCAATATCTGTTAGGTTGAAAAAGTCGAAATTTTTTAAAAGAGTAAGTACAAATTAATAATGTTAACTATATATACATATATGTATATGTGCACATATATATTTAAAATAAAAGTTATCCTAGAAGTTATGTAGAGGGTGGAGCTAAGACAAAGAAGCTAAACAACCAGGATACTACTGTAGTAATACAGGTATAAAGTGACGATGAGCTGGGCTAGGGTGCTGTCCATGGTAGTAAAGAGAAGGAAGAACTGAGTCTGAGAAATATCATGGCAGAATAATCATGGTAAAAATAATCAACAAACTTCTTTCACAGCATGGCTAACATGGAAATGTTTTACATGATTGTACATATATATAACCTATATCAAATCATGTAACATCTTAAGGAGGGAGGAGGGAAAAAATTTGGAATTAAAAATTTCTTAAATGAATATTTTAAATTGTCTTTACATGTAATTGGAAAAAATAGAATACTATTTAATATACATAGAAAAGAGGATAATCAACAAATATAGTATATCTGGATAAGGGATCAAGGTGGCATGAAGAAGAGACCAAAGCCTGGATTTGGAGGTTGTAAGTCTTGGGAAAAAGAAAAATAACAATGCCTTTAGTCATAAAATGGAAATGGAAAATGGTTCCAATTTGTAGGAGAAGATAGTGAAAAGAGCACTGGAAAGGATGTGAGTTTTAATTGTGTCTTTGTACTAACTCACTGTTCATTGATCTTGGCAAGTCACTTAACTTTTCTAGATTTCAATGTCCTCATCTGAAAAAGGAGGGAATGGCCTAAAAAAACAGTAAACTGTTGAAGGCCCCTTTCAGCTCTAAAAATCTGATGATTCCACTTCTGTAATGAATTTGTTTGATGTGGTAACTTTTAGGTAGCAGCTAGAACTTGAAACAGAATTAGGAAGGAGGTAGGTGGCATGGTGCATAGAGTTCTGGACTTGGAATTAGAATATCCTGAGTTCAAATCCTGCCTCAGAAACTTACTAGTTGTGTGACCCCGAACAAGTCACTTAACCTTGCTCCAATTCACTTTCCTCTTCTAGAGAATGGAGATATTTACAATAGCTAGAATTTATAGAACTTTGAGGTTTGCAAAATGCTTCATAAATATTATCTTATTTTGTACTCACAACAACCCTGTAAGGTAGGTGCAATTATTCTCTGAGGAAAATAGAGAGACAAGAGAAGGATGAAGCCTTGGCGGAAAGAGAGGAAGAAGAAGAGCTGCTGAAAGAAATTGAACAATGAATTAATTTTTTTTCCTTTCCACTTAGTCCTGTCTCTATTCTTTTGTGCCCCTTTCTTGCTCTTTATCAGTCTAGTCTGGGGTGGGGTACCTGCAGCCTCAAGGCCACATGTGGCCCTCTAGGTCCTTAAGTGCAGCCCTTTGACTGAATCCAAACTGCACAGAACAAATCCCTCTAATAAAAGGATTTGTTCTGTAAAACTTGGACTCAGTCAAAGGTTGCATCTGAGGCCCTAGAAGGTTCCCCATTCCTGGCTATTATTTTGATTTTCTTTTTCACCTTGTTCACTCATGGTTTGAGTATTCACTAAGACCCACTGATTCCCACAAAGGCAATGGTGCTTAGAGTTAAAAATATTATCAAGACAGACTAACCTCATAGTTATTTGCCTTGTCAAATTTTATTCTTAATTTATTAGTGAATACAGACGCTAAGGGACACTGATAATTTAGAAACTAATTCTGCCAAGAAGCTACATACCTGTTCCAATGAGTGGGAGGGCAACAGATTTGCTCTTCAAGTGTTCACACTCTTGTAAGACACTGGAAACTGTTTCTTTAATGTCTTTGTGACCAATTACATGAATTATTTTTTGGCACTTCAGATTTCCCCCTTGTGTAATTATAAAATTGTCATGAGGCAGTTTAGCTGGAGAAATGAAGAAGAAAAGTAAAAGGCATAAAACATGAACCATTTAAATCTGTCGGTTATTGAGAATATAAAATATTATATTTAGGCAAAGGAAAATAGTACATAAAAGAGTCCTGAATGACACAATTCTTGTTGATTTTTTCTGTTTAGATTTGAATAGACATTTTTTTTAGTGAGGCAATTGGGGTTAAGTGACTTTCCCAGGGTCACACAGCTAGTAAGCGTCAAGTGTTTGGTCTGAGTCCGGACCTGAACTCAGGTTCTCCTGACTCCCGGGCCAGTCCTCTATCTACTGCACCACCTAGCTGCCCCTAGATTTGTATAGACTTCCAAAGATGATAAGGACTGTATGAGTCATGTAAGTACAACTGTCTCACATGCATGAACTCCTAAAACATCATTGACAAGTTATTATGCACTTTCTATGTAAACACCTCCAGCGATAGCAAGCCAATTCCATTTGGGGGCAACTATAATATTAAGGTCTTCTTTAAATCAGGCTTATTTGCAATTTAAGTTTTGCCTCATTGCAAGTTAAGTTTTGTCCTCTAGAGCTTCATGCAATAGGTCTAATCCCCTTTCCATATGCCAAGCTTTCAAGATAATGAAGATAATGAACTTTACTCCATCTCCTACCACTCTTATGTTGTCTCTTTTTGAGACTGATGAAAGTCTGTTGCATATGACAGCACCTGGTGAAAGTTTTCACAGACTCATAAGCAACTTCCCTAAAGCCCTAAAAGATTATTTAAAATTTTTTTAAAAATAACATTATTTTTCATCATTCTTTTCTTTTTAAATTGAATTCCAAACCTCACCCACTGAGACTGTAAGCAAATGATATCAATTAAACATGTGAAATCATGCAAAACATATTTCCATATTAGCCCTATCACAACAATGAAAAATAAATAAAATGAGGAAATTATACTTTAATTTGCAGAGTTCACTTCTCTCTCTGGACATGGATAACATTCTTTCATCATGAGTCCTTCGAACTGTATTGGATCATTAAATCGATCAGAGTAGTCAAGTCTTTCACAGTTGATCATCATTATAACATTGCTGTTACTGTGTACAATGATGGTTCTTCTCATTTCACTTTGCTTCAGTTCATATGGATCTTGGCATGTTTTTTCCCCCTAAAACTACCCAACTAGTCATTTTTTTTAGGCAATTGGGGTTAGGTGACTTGCCCAGCATCACACAGCTAGTAAGAGTCAAGTGTTTGATCTGAGGCTGGATTTGAACTCAGGTCCTCCTGACTTCAGTGCTCTATCCACTGCACCTCCTAGCTGCCCCTCCAACTAGTCATTTCTTATAGCATGATAATACTTCATCACAATCATATGCTCAATTGATGAGCATCACCTCAATTTCCAATTCTTTGATACCACAAAAAGTTGCTATAAACTTTTCCTTTTTCTTTGATCTCTTTGGGATACAGACCTAATACTGGTATTACTAAGTCAAAAGGTATACATAGCTTTGTAGCCCTTTGGGCATGGCACCAAATTGTTTTCCAGGATGTTTGGACTAGTACTCAACACCCCCAACAGTTTATTAGTGTACCTATTTTTCCTCGTTCCCTTCATCATTTGTCATTTCTGATAGGTGTGATGTGGTACCTCAGAATTGTTTTAATTTGCATTTCTCTAATCAATAGTTATTTAGAGCATTTTTCATATCATTATAGATAGCTTTGATTTTTTCCTTTGAAAACTGCCTGTTCATATCCTTTTACCATTTATCAATTGGAAATGGCTCTTACTTTTATAAATTTGACTCAATTTCCTATATATTTGAGAAATGAAGTTTTTTCAGAGAACCTTGTAAAATTTTTTTTATATTACTTCATTGTCTACGCTACTTTTAGCAAAATGTAGTGTCTTTGATTATCCCTTTTAATTAGGTCTCTTTTTGCTTTTGTTTTCTCTGAGATCATGATCACTACCCCTGCTTTTTTTTTACTTCAGCTAAAGCATAAAAGATTTTGCTTCATCCCTTTATTTTGACTCTGTGTGTTTCTGTTTCAAATATGTTTCTTGTAAACAACACATTGTTGTATTCTTATTTTTAATCCTTTCTAGTATCCATTTCTATTTTGTGGGTAAACTCATCCCATTCACATTCACAGTTAATGATTTCTGTGTATTTCCCTCTATCCTAATTTCCCCCTCTTTCTTCTCTCTCTATTTTTATCCTGTCCCTCTCAAGAATATGTTTTGCTTTTGACCACTGTCTCCCATAATCCACCCTCCTTTTTATCATCCTCCTCACCCATGTCTCATATCCCCTTCCACCCCCCCCCCACTTTACTGTTGGGTAAGAGGTTTCTATACCCAACTAAGTGTGTGTGTGTGTGTGTGTGTGTGTGTGTGTGCGTGTGTCTGTGTGTGTGTATTCTTCTCTCTTTGAACCAATTCTGATGAGTATGAGGTCCAAGCATTACCTGCCACCCTCTCCATTTTCCCTTCCACCATAAAAACTCTTCTTTCGTGCCTCCTTTACATGAGAAATACTTCCCTATTCTACCTCTCCCTTTCCCCTTCTCTCAGTGCTTTCCTTTTTTCTCACCTCCTCATTCTTTTGGGAAGATCATCCCAATATAATCACCTCACATTCATGCCTTCTGTCTATGTAGACTTCTTCTAACTGCCCTAATAATGATAAAGTTCTTAGCAGTTAGATGTGTCATCTTCTCATGTAGGAATGTAAACAGTTTAATTTATTGAGATCTTTATGACTATTTTTTTACCTTTCTGTGCTTCTCTTAAGTCTTGTATTTGAAAGTCAAATTTTCTATTCAGCTCCTGTCTCTTCATCAGAAATGTTTGAGTTCTTAGAATAATTGGGAGGTGGAGCCAAGACAGAGGAGTAATGGTCTGAGATCTCCCCCAAAACCCTCCAAATACCTTTAAAAATGACTCTAAACAAATTCTTGAGCAGCAGAACCCACAAAAAGATGGAGTGAAACAAATTCCTGACCCAAGATGACTTGGAAGGTTGGTAAGAAAGGTCTGTTGCACCAGGGAAAGAGAGGAGTGTAGTCCAGCATAGGCAGTGCCAATGCAGACCAGGTCTCAGCAAACCTGGAGCAGTCCTCAGGGCTACTAAATCGGGGGCAGCAATGGTGGTTTCCAGACCTCTCAGCCCACAAACACCAAAGACAACTTAGAAGGTTAGCAGGAAAGGTCTGTTGCACCTGGATGAGAGTGGAGCACAGTCCAATGCAGATTGTGCCAGCACAACCCAGGGTGAGGAATAGTACTAGCACACCAGAGTTTACAGCCACAGTGGAGGTGAGACCCTCCTTACAGTTTCAGGGTAGAAAAGAGTGCTTGTGGTTGCCCATGGACCAGAGCACAAGCTAGGAGAGTAGTAAAGACCTTTCCTTAGATCATACCACCTTGGAATAACTGAAAACTTACAGGTACCTAGAAGTATCTCTGAAAACAGCTGCATAAAACCCCTGAAGCTTGGGACAGTGTACCCTCCACCCTGGAAGCAGAGCCCTACTTTAACAAAGACTTAAAAGTCAAGTAATAGGCTGAGAACATAAGAAAACAATGGAACAAACTCTGACTATAGAAAGTTACTATGGTGACAAGGAAGATCAAAACACACATTCAGAAGAAGACAGCAAAGTCAAAGTTCCCACATGCAAAGTTTCCAAGAAAAATTTCAACTGATTTAAGGGCATGGAAGAGCTCAAAAAGAATTTTGAAAATTGAGTAAGAGAGATAGAGGAAAAATTGGGAAGAGGAATTAGAATGATGCAAGAAAATCATGAAAAATGAGTCAACAGTTTGGTAAAAGAGACACAAAAATACTGAAGAAAATAACACCTTAAAAAACAGACTAGGCAAAATGGTAAAAGAGGTCCAAAAAACCAATGAGGAGAACAATGCCTTAAAAAGAAGAATTGTCCAAATGGAAGAAAAAAAGATCTAAAGGCTCACTGAAGAAAATAATTCCATAAAAATTAGAATGGAGCAAGTGGAAGCTAATGACTTTATGAGAAATTAAGAAACAATAAAACAAAACCAAAAGAATGAAAAAATAGAAAACAATGTGAAATATCTCATTGGAAAAACAACTGACCTGTAAAATAGATCCAAGAGAGATAATTTAAAAGTTATTGGACTACCTGAAAACCAAGATCAAAAAAAGAGCCGGGATATCATTTTCAAGAAATCATCGGGGCAGCTAGGTGGTGCAGTGGATAGAGCACTGGCCCTGGATTCAGGAGGACCTGAGTTCAAATCTGGCCTCAGACACCTAACACTTACTAGCTGTGTGACCCTGGGCAAGTCACTTAACCCTGTTGCGTAGCCAAAAAAAAATAGTCAGAAAAAAAAAGAAATTATCAAGAAAAACTGCCTTGATATTCTAGAACCAGATGGTAAAATAGAAATTGAAAGATTACAACCAAGAATCATCTACCCAGCAAAACTGAGTATAATCTTTCAGGGGGAAAATGGAAATTCAATGAGCTAGAAGACTTTCAAGCATTCTTGATGAAAAGACCAAAGCTGAATAGAAAATTAGACTTTCAACTCAAGAGAAGCATAAAAAGATAAGCAGGAAAGGGAAATTAGAAAGGACTTAATAAGGTTAAATTATTTACATTCTTACATGGGATGATGATATTTGTAACTCATAAGACCTTTCTCATTATTAGGGTAATTAGAAGGAGTATATATAGGCAGAGGGTATAGGTGTGAATTGAATATGAAAGAATGATATCTAAAAAATAAAATTAAGGGTTGAGAGAGGAATGTACTGGGAGAAAGAGAAAGGGAGAGGAAGCAAGGGGTAAATTATCTCATGTAAAAGAGGCAGGAAAAGGCTTTTACAGTGGAGAGGAGGTGAAGGGGAGTGAGTGAAACTTACTGTCATCAAAATTGTCTCAAAGATGGAATAACATACACACTCAATTGGGTATAGAAATCTATCTTACCCTACAGGAAAGTAGTGGGGAAGGGGATAAGAAA